GTTTATGTGCTTGGCACAGAATGCACTTGGTTATTTCAATAATCCTCATTGTCAGCAGTTTAAAATCGTGGATAGTGAACATATAATAAAGATCATAATCATTCAATGTAGAATATAGTGAAATAGCCAGTTCCAGCTTAAAAATACTGCGAGTTTATTATGGTCATAGAAAGTGTTGCATGAAGAAGTGCACGGCTCTGCATGCTTGAACGAGACGTTTTGGAGTGCTGACAATGAGCTCTTATGCTGTACAGATTGTGCATGTTAAGTGATGGTTTCAGATTAATGCGACGGATGCATTTGAATGGGAACAAGATCGGATGATTCTGCGGAAAGCCAGTGTAATGGGTGATAGAGGTGAATCACATTTGGCTAGTGCAAGACTGCAAAAGTTGGAAGCGGTCGCAGCGTTAAATAATGAAGAATATGATATGGACATAACGATTTGACGGGTTCCATCAACAGCACCCTATCCACAACGTCATACACAATTCACATTAATCAGTTTCGACTTTTTGGTAGATTCAGGCATAAGAAACATGAATTCATTGTATGATTAGTTTCTTCACATCATATTTGAAACACGAGTGTGCGAGTTTCAATTGTTTTCGTTGTGTGTGTTTTTGTTAATTAACATGTTTGCAGAGGTGAGTGAGTTCACAGTGTAGAGCTGCATAACGCCGCCCGAACTGAGATCAGTAAAGTAGATCTAAGCGCATCCGTATGGATTTGAGTTCGCCTGTTCAGAATCAATTTCATGTCTGTGGCGTTAAGCTGATTTAGTGAACTGTGATTTAGCGCATCATCAGGATTTGTGCTATTCATTTTCCGCGTTTATTCTCTCTCGTCTTTCGTCAAGCGAATATGAAATTTCTACTAGCCTAATGACAAACAGATCAATCCGATGTGATCCTTGCTAAGTATTCCATAGATAATTGCTTAGTTGGACGGTTTTGAGCTGCTTAGATTTCATCAAAAAATAATGAGAGACACGTTGACGGCAATAGTAGCACTTGGATTGTGAACTCTGATAATATCATTTGGTGTTTACACTGCGCAATCAATTCCTTCATAGCATATTTGCTGGTTTTCTACACTGACAACGAAACTGATGGCTTTCTCCTCAATTACTCTGGATGAGATTGCCATCAAGGTGGATTCATTTAAAAAGATAATAGGAGAAAATGGCACCACGCATTAACTTCAGCTATAGTGGGTGAAGAAATCATGGTGAAAGTTTAGAATCCAGGCGAGTTGATCAACTAGTTAGATTCTTTGAGAATTTGCACGAATTTTTTATTGATAGCCATTTTTTTGTGCAGTTTGACTGGAATGCATCGGATATTTTCATACAATTTGTAATAGATGATTTCATATTGTTAGTGACATGACTGAATGGCTAGTGTCATGTGAATTATTAAAATTTCGGATGAATTTCGGAGGAGTGTACAGAATGAACGCAACATAAATATTGCAAATGAGGAGGTTGTGCAACGTTAATTCATTCAGTAATTTTTCGATTTAACGTAGATAGTAGCTCTTTTAGGTGTTCGGTTTCACCGAAACACCTGCTCCTTATATTCTCTGTGGCATATGAGGATACGAAAAATGCTTTAAATGATGTTTTCTTTAGTGATGTGAGCATATGCGCTTTTAATTGAGGCATATCTTCTGTTTTCAGGTGGTTTTATCCGTTTGACGTAAATCCTCTATTAATCCATCCTATTTAATGCTGTTGTCTTTGCGTGAGATAATCGTATTCTGCTGGATTTCCTTGTGGATGGACAGTATGGATTCTCTTTCTTGAAAGTCATCTTGACTTGACCTGAGCTTATTATTTGTTATTATATTGCTCAACTAAATTTTCCCATTGTAAATTAATCGATTGAAATCCGTATGGTTATGATTTTCTCTCTCTTTCTGCGTATATCAGTTGTTTTTTTTGTGACAATAAGATATGATTCTAAAATATCCATTGTTAGGTTTTCATTGTGTCTATTGTCGAGTACAGTTTGCCCATTTGTAGGCATATTCACCTCTGAAATCTTGTGAAGTAAATTTGCAGTATGACTGAACCTTTATGATGTTATGTTCAATTAACGCCAGATACATGATGTGTTCGTTCATCAGTGCTATAAAAAGATTCAGAATGCTAGAAGAATTGGAATTTGTTGAAAGTTTCTCAAGTAATATTGATCTGTTCTTGTTTACAATTTCTTGATTCGTTCAATTGAATCCAT